GTCAGATGCAGATATGAAGAAGTGAATATGCGTGAGTGTAGGACTTAACAGTAGAAAAATGACCTTTACATTTGCTTTAAAAACTACAAATAATCCAACCAGAAATAATTCTAGAACAAAAATGAAACATTATTTTTAAAAAACCCAATTTAATAGCCATAATACCTGCAAAGAGTAAATAGGTTATTGATCAATATCACTGACTTAACGATTACTTGATCAAGGCCTAAAAAAAGTAATGTGATTTCTAAAGTACTGAGCTAATTTAATAATTGCCTCAGATTATCCCAATCACAAAATACAGTATATTCTAGTCTTGATATTGTTTGTGTGAAGTGCTGTTAAACATATATACAAAAAGAAAGAAATAAACAGACTTTTTGGGAAATTGTGGTTGTAAATAACTGTTTTTAACTGTTTCTTAATTAATCAGCAGGTCAATCAATAAAGGAAATAATGAAACAGCATTTAGAGAAACGTAACATTTACAGACACTATTATTGAACTGTTAAATTAATGAACATAACATGATTAATACTCAGAGTCTACACACCCACAGTTGGCAGGCTAGTGTCGGATAATGACCTCTTCCATTTTTCTGCTGGATCTGCGATGATCTGTTCAGACGTCATACTGGACAACTATAATGTAAACACATGAGTGATAGTGATTCAGCCCCGTTTCCATCTGTTTCAAGTCAAGAATCTGTCTTCGGGAGAGTATCAGCAGAGATGGGTGTGAGTTCTCTGCGTGATTGGCTGTGCTTTGCTCCGTGAGCTCCAGGTTGGCAAAGTGAGAGCAGACAGCATCCTATTATTCATCCACTGTAATCCCAGCGATCCCACACACTGCTCGCTATCCCGATTTATCGCCAAGCACCATGGGAAAGGTCAGAGGTGACTGTTTATTTTCCGTAGTAACATGAATGTGATGTTTCTCTGTGTATTCCACATTAAACTTTCTGTTGTCGTTGTTGTTATATTTTGAGTCATAATACCACTAAACAGCTGTTGTGCTGTACGTCTGTGTTTAAACATCGAGGAGGGCAGCAGACAGCAGAACACACACACTCAGGACAATGGTATCAAACATCCTGCATCTGCTGTTTGTAAGAAGAAACAACAGGCATATTTACTCCACCTGCTTTGAGGTCTTTCCAATAACACTGTGTGTCTCAGAGGCCAGGTTGTTTGTGTTATGAACAGGACAAGATCTTAGGCATATGGCTGTGAGATAAACACAATGTCAGGCCAAATTTCCTACTTTATTGTTCATGCACATATGAGGAGTTTATTTATTGACTGACGTTAGGCTGCGATTAAAACTAAAGGCGAGAGGATAACGTAAGTTTGCTTGGCAGTTGAAGAGGATTGTTAAAGTTTCTCTCAGCAGGTAACCTGAATGTTTTCTGGTCTTAAAGATAAGGTTCACACACATTACAACTACTACTAATAACTTTCTTGATTTTTTAACTTTTTGTCTAATGGTTTTCTCACACTCAGCACCAAACGGCATAAAAGACCAAGTGAGCAGCTAGCTGGTGAACATAGTGGAGCATTTAGCAGACTAAATAAGGAAAGTGAATGACGGTCTCATATTCACCAGGTGGCCAAAAACATAACTCCAAACTGTTGCTTCATGTCTTCTGGACGTGTAAACAGTCAACTGTTTACTAAAACATTCAGCATTTTAACTTTATAAGGTGATAATATGTCCATGTTTTGGTTTTAGCACTCTGCGCTGCCCCCATGTGGCTTAAACAAACAAAAAAAAAGAATCAATTAATGCATGTTTAATTGATCACCACTGAATTCCAGCACCTGAACTCCAGCTGCTCAGGTCCAACAAAGAAGCTTTTTTTTCCGACTGATGTGCTCAGGAAAAAAATTCTCTTCAGACTTTCAGGTTGTGGTTCTACACTGAACCACAATGACTCAAAGAACTCTCCGATTTCATACAAGCTAATCAATCACAACAACAGCTCATTGTGGCTCTTCTCTGGCAATGGTTAAAAAAAAAAAAAAAAAAAGTATTAACCTTTGGGAAACATTTCCCGATGGTTTTATTTTTTAAATAAACCCTTTGTTCTGTTCAGACACTTGTATATATATATATATATATATATATATATATACATATTTTCTAGACAGGAGGAACCGGTTTCTGAGGAAGACTGTGAGCCTTCCAAAAAAAGAAACATTCAAAGCGAGGAGTCAGTCTGACTAAGGGGCAAAAAGAAATGAAATCAAGTAAACTCAAGCTCAAGGAATGCTGCTCCAGCCCCCGTGATAGATGACAGACATGTTGGAGGAAACTCCTCCCCGGCCCTTCACACCCGTAATCTCTCCTACAGGGTTCAACCGACTTTAGAATAGTTGACAACAATGCAAACAAACCACCAAACACAACGTCTCTGGGTGTAATGCGATGAGGAGTCTTAGTCATCGGATCCAGGTCATCAAATATCTACTCTCCAAGTCAAAAGCAGCTGGCCTTGCTTGGTTTTGGAGGATGTTTCATCACTCACCCAAACGGTTTCGTCAGCGCTTTTTCTCCTGAACCGATGAAGGATTGATGAAACCTCTAGATGAGAGCATAATGGTAAAATCCAGGAATATGTGACGGCTCACCAGCAACTACCCTCTCCTGAAAATGCTGCACTGCAACAATAAATCCTCCTTGCTTTTTTTTTGCTGAAAGATGAAACTGAGGAGGCAAAGTTCAACTAAACTGAACTTTGACCTCATGTATGCAGAACTCCGACCTGATTCTGGCATTAAAATCACGCAGGCAACAATTTTACTGAACAGAATAGTGACAGAAAAGTTGGTGCTTTTGTGAGTCGGACTTGGTCACGTTCTGATTTCGTGCAGTTAAATTTCTTCCTTGTGCAATTTGATGGAAATACTAATTAATTTAAAGCATTTAACCGTTACAAGTTCAAATCAATCATGAAACGCTGTTGAATTGTACAATGACAAGAACATGGAAGTCGTGTCATTGCTCAAGACGACTGCAGACAGTCGTATGGTTGCAGAGTGGACATGAGCAAACTACATTCGTTTGGTCAACAGGCACTTTTGTGTTTCAGAAAAATCCCTGATGTAATAACGACCTGGATGTTGTATAAACAGCTTGTAGAAGCTGCAGAATGGTAATTGCAGTAACTCAAATATGACTTGAATCTCGCTACTGTATAAAACATCAGAGGTCATTAGGGTTCATACTCTGGGGAACGCAAATATCTGCTTAGTATTTAAGATATTTCACTCTGAGTATGAGGATTAAATCTTCTATCTATACGTAAAACACAGGGGTGATACGACCGTTCCTCTCTCAGTCAGGTGAGTCAGCAGAGCAGGGTAAACTGTGCTATCCTGTGGGACTCTGACACCATTATCCAAGCGGGGGTGCAGGGTGGAGGGACGGTAAGTCAGCACGCTCCTAAACAGAGCCACATGTCCTTAGGTCGAGGCCAACCAATCAGACTCCATGGGCTGGATCTGCGCCCCCCAGGAGCCCGCTGGATCACTTTCAACATGGGGAGGAACAGCGCCAGTGTGGAGCTGGACTCTACCAGGGAGCGAGCATTAAGGCATTTACAAGTGTGCAGAGCCAACAGAAAAACCTCCAACACCTCAGCACAGTGTCCTATAAACATGAAACCTGGCTCAGATTCTCATTATAATGCAATAAATATGGTTTTATACTTGCCAGTAGGAGCCACCATAAATTCCAGACATGTTTTTCTGGCTGCCTGAGCCAATGTCAGGCCAAGTGTAAGTAAATATATAATAGTTGTACATGGCCAAAAAATAGCTCCCAACACTCATAAACCCCTGATATATATGTTTTTAAAAACTCAATATGTTGTAGTTCAAGAGCTGTGCAGTAATGTAACTTTTCTTTTTTTTTTAAGTGGACAAAAAGCAAGTTTGATCCCAGTGACAGAAGAGTCCTGTGAAATATTAAAAACACGCTACATACATCATCAATAACAGTGACTAGAAGGGCTTAAAGACCAAAGCTAATCTGTATGACATGTAAACTACAGAGGAGGGTGGGCTGATTAGCAGTTACCAGAACATACAGTAAAAATTACAATATTATAGTTGTGAATTAACACGGGGGTTTACTGATGATTCCAGATGTTGTTCCGTTTTTTTTTTTTTTTTTAAAAGGATGAGTCTGTTTCTTCAGATATTCTACACGTTTATTTTTGTCAGGACATTTTGTGAAAAGACTGAAACCAGCAATGACTTGTTAACTTTGCCATTGTCGTCCAAAAACTATAAAAGACACATGGATGAGCCCACACAGTTGCACCGGGTGAACACGGGCACCTTCACCATCCTGCTGCTGGAAATACTCACTGGAGCACCAAAGCCAGATGTTCACTGAAAACTGGGAAACTTGTTTAGAGCTGAAAGTCTCTATATTTCTGTCCTGTTGTTGCAGGATTTACTCCGTCAGTGGGAACAAATGAACTTGGAGCCAAGTGCCGCAAACACAGCAGGGAAAGATAAAGTATTAACAGACAAATTAAAACACTGTCGGTTTCCGTCTTTTCATGGGATCGTTATGACGATAACAAAAATATAGAATCTTGCCTATGTTATACTTTAAATAGGATCATTTGGGAAGTTCACTGCACTCATGACACAATGCTAAGGTGTAAGGAGGCCAGAAAAATACGACATAAAAGCGGCTGACAGCTTCAGGTGAATCTGAGTATAAAAGTACATGGTGGCTTCTTCATTTTCTCTTTCTACAATTCAAAGCTTTTAACCAATAAAACTATATAAACTGACGTTTCTACTCAGCCTCAGATTTATTGTGTAGATTAAATGATTTCTCTCAACTAGTCCTCTAGTTTGAAAAGGTATAAAAGAAATGCATAGTTTAAACACACTATGACATTGTTAATGTTTCTTAGTGAAACTCCCACAGCAACTTTTTGAACTCCAGAATATATCTTACAAAAAAAAAAGTTACATTGCTTAATTCATTTTTTTTTTTTTTACATTACACTTACAATGAGCAGTAACACATATGTTGGACTCCATCCTTCCTCCAGGACTCTATGTTTCACAGAACAGTTCAGTCTGCTCCAGCTTTCTTCTCTCTTCTCAAAACTTAAATCCCATAAGCATCTGAGTTTTCTCTGTTACAAAGTCGATCAAAGGCGAAACAAAAACAGTTCATCCGACGATAAAACCTTCAAGTCATTAAAAGACGTTCATATGCAACAGGAGAGTCACTCTGTACAAAAATCTGTGTGACCGAAGTTACTGGGAAACATGTATTTGAAACGCTCTGGACAAGATTCAACATATATGCAGGCCTGTAAAAACAGTGTGTTTTGGAAATGCAGTACAGCGGCACAAGGCACAGTACCAAAACTTACAGATAATCTATTTCATAAATGTGTAAATGTCTTGCAAAGTCCTTTAAGTAACAATGTAAACATACTGGAACAATTAAAGATGTTTTGAGAGGCTGCTGTCCAACTGTCTGGAAATGGACTACAACTAATCCTTTCACCTCACTCCCACATTTTACATCCAGCACTCCTCGCTGGCAATAAAAACCACATGTGCCATTAGTTGTGGGGAGGAAAAAAACACTAGGTATATTATGAACAAACTAATATTTTACACAACTGAAAACATTCTTGCTCTTGCTCTGTAAAAAAGCAACCAGAAGGTCTTTGTCCGCTGGGTCCGAGGCCTCGAACAAATCGCTACGTCTGCTCGTTCTGCTCCCGTCGGTGTCTCTGACGTGGAGCGGCTACGGCTGGTCGGGGGGGCTGGCTGCCGCCGCCTCGTCGTTGCTGCTGTCCACCTCCTGCTCCATGGGGCTGTCCTCCTCCAGCTGCTGGCTGGTGTAGTTGGTGATCTCCAGGAAGCCGCTGGGCTCCACCACCACGTTGGACTGGCTGGAGTCCGGCAAGATGGAGTACTGAGGAATCACCTGCAGGTTGTTAGTCACATCAGGTTTTCAGTCAGTTCACCTTTCACTAGCGTTACACGTGTGAACTGACTATAGAGCTGAGCAAATTTGATCCGATCACAAGTGGTAATCTCTAAGTTGTTGGTGTGAACGCACCCAAGACGCACTGAGGAGGCATTTGAGATCCATTCAGAGGTGGTCTGGACCACATGTGTCCACTTTCTTTTAGCAGTGGCCATAGTGACAGTCTGAATAGTCCCAACACAGTTTGATAATGAACCCAAAATACAACAACAACACATACTGGTTCATTTGCAGATAAAGCGGGGAAGTGAGATCCCATCACAAGTCGTCAATCGAGAGGAGACGCATTTTAAATCCAGGTGTGAACCGACGAACTTAGAGCTGTCCACTTGTGATCGGATGTTAACAGCAGGTCTGAACAGATCATGTTTGATGTGAACATTAACTGAAGCTCCTGACCTTTATCTGCACTGCTGCCACATGTTTGGCTGATTGGATAATTACATGAATAAGCAGGTGTACAGGTGTTCCCAATAAAGTGCTCGGTGTGTGTATATTACAATATAAATGAAGCGAATGTTTCTGTTCTGCTTAAACATACTGTTCACCAGCTAAGATCTCTCGTTTTTGAGTGGTTTGTTCCGGGGATGGGTCTAACTGCTGGTATTTGAAACTGCGATGTGCTTCAACAGGTGAATGTTGGTATTTTCCATCTGTGTTGAGACACATTTTCAGCTTTGAGTTTCAGGAATAGTTTCACTGGGGGAATTTGCTTATTGTCAAGGGACAGACGAGGAGATTATTAATACTCTCATATCTGGAGTGGTGCCATGTGAACTGGTTAGACAGAGCTTCATTTCTGTGACGTGATTGGTTGTGAGTGCACCGTCGAGCGATGAACTTCAGTCAATATATCAAAGTTTCTCATTTTCTTGTGTCATGTAAGGCTGAAAATGAACTGTTTAGTTGACCTAGGAATATTTAAAGTGAAGGTTATTTAATCTAAATGTTTATGTACGTCTATGTATGCCTTGTATATTATCAGTGAAGTGTCATATATCTGTAAGCTACCATCACATTCAAGGTTCACAACAATGATTTATATATTTTAGATTTTCTATATATTGTTTTAACAAAGAGGTCAATAAGTCAGAGTCATACTGACGAAGCTCTGTGATTTATTACCTAGATATTTCTGTAATAAACATCTTACCTCAATAACCTCCAGGTCTTCTTTGCTCCTCTGTGCAGTGAGGCCCTGCATGCAGCTGAACTGCTGCGCCTTCGTGTGGGAATGGTGCATGGCGGCCCCGGAGCTGCTGATGAACTGGCCAGAGTCCAGCGTCCCCGACACGGCCTGGACCTCCAGAGCTTTCCCCAGGGGGCCGCAGTCGCTGGAGGAATCCACCACCATGGGCTCCGTGCTCGGATCGATCTCCGCCTCCATCATGGAGATCTTCAGGATGTCCGACACTGAGGGCTTGTCTCCGGGGGGCCCAGAGCTGGACTCGGGGATCAGCTTGGCGGCGGCCTCGCCGCTGCTGAAGACTGGCGACGTGTGGTGGGAGCTGCCGAAGGTGATTTTGGTGACGGTAGCGCTCTGTGTGATGATTGGCTGCTGAGGTGAAGATATTTTAATGAGGGAAAAATGCAAATTTAAATTCAGAGAACTAATGGAAATCAAATATTTGACATTATATTTTATAGCATTTGCATGTGACTTTAAATACTTCTCAGGAAACAAATGCCAAGTTGTTTATTTCTTGCTTCCTTCCTGTCGTGTTGATGTTGAACCACTCACCTGGCTGGATGCAGTCTTTTCAGTGCTGATGGGGTGGTGCGCCTGCAGTGGAGGAGGGTGGGACATGGGTGTGTGCAGGGGCCTGTGGTGGGACGTGGGGGCTTGCTGGAGCTTCGGGAGCTGCGGCGTCACAAGGTGCTTGGTCGGTGTGCCCGGGGTCGTGACCTTTGGCGCGGCCTGCACCGGTGCAGCCAGCGGTCTGTCTTTGGGGCTCTGGGTTAAGGCCTGGGGCTTGGGCTGACTCTGCTCTCGTAGCTTAGGGAGTTTCTTAGTCAGAGGTGGAGTGGAGGGGAAGGCGGTGGAGGAGGAGGAAGGCTGGCTAATCTGAGGTTTGCTCTGCAGCTGTGGTGGTGGCGGTGGCGCCTGGGTGGGGGTGGAGGTGGAGGTGGAGGTGGAGGTGGAGCTGTGCCGGCTCTGCTCCGCCTCGGCCTGACTCACAGGTGGTGGCTGAGCGCCCGCGGAGTGGGTGGTTTGCTTCACGGGATCTGCAGCTGGTTGGGTGGAGCGGTAGAACAATCCCGTCTGGGGGTCCAAGGTGTCGCCTTCCAGCTCGCCCGCCTCTAACACGGTCTCAGTTTTACCAAGGCTGTCAGACGGCTGAAACAGTCACAGAGGACACCAACAAGGGAAGTTATCAAGAGGAGAGGAGGACACTTGACTCATCCACAGTGAGTTAAAGGAGCAGAGGGAGGGAAACAACAACACAGATACTATCACATTATTTCTGTTCAATATTTCTGTTCATCTTTCAATAAGTAATATGACCTCATGCTTTGGCAACTGACTGTATGTTTCTGTCTGCTTGTGCCGACGAATGAGACTGGAACTGGGGAAAAAAAAGGTTCTTATAAACAGAAACTTCCCTGTCATCACTGGACGAGGTACCACATTATATTACCAAATTATCTCGGTGATTTATAAAAGGTGATTTCAACCAAATTCCCAAAAGAACAGTCTCTCTCCCTGTGTACAGGTGCTGATGCAGAGACCTCGCTGTGAAGGGTTTTCATTGAAACTACGCTACTTTCGACTAAAGAATTAGTTCCTGTCACAGCGTGTTTTGTGGTACTGGCCCTTTAAGGTTGATTCTTGCTTTCAGCAACACTGTTAAGATGAATAACAAGGGTCAAAATTTTAGATCCGAGTATCAGGAGCCTTGGCAGACTCAGAGAAACAGATAAAAACAAAACTGACACAATGTGATTTGTCTTATCTGTATATGTGGGCTGTGTTTGGATTGTGCGCAGCTATCTACTGAATTTATTTACTTATCGGCTAATGTGTCGGAGCTAATACTGTCAATTATAGAGAAGGTCAACTACTTAAGTTAAGAGTACAAGAGTATTAAACTGAATCACCACTTGGCTGACGTGAGAAGCTGCGGCTGCAGACGAGATGGCAGCCGGTTTGTAGGGCTTCCCCAGCTGCTGACTGGAGGACATGACCACATCATCATCCTCCGAGGACACTCCCACTCTGCTGACTTTACCTGGCAGGGGAACCACAGTCATGCTGTCAGATAATCATATCACATATAGTTCAGGCTGAACAAACACACACACGCACGCACACACACACACACACACACACACGCGCGTACACACTGTTTTTCCGGTCGAAGTAGCAAAAAGAGAACCGTGTTTCATCATGCCCAATTTGCGGTTTTAGTGTGAATTTAAGTTACTTCCACTGAAATTGAGAGCTGCCAACCAAAAACAGGAAGTGCACAGTGTTGAGTCATTTACATGTCACACACAGTAGGTCAGGTAACAGAGCGGAGAGCCGTACCTGCCGTGATGTACTCGGTGCTGGGTTCAGCCTCTGAGGTGGAGGGTCTGGGGGACTCCGGGCTGGGCTTCTTCTCCTGGGCCAGCTGGATGGGCACGGCCAACTGGCTCAGGTCAATAGTGTGCTGCCTCAGTTTGGACTCTCCTTTCTCCTTAACTATTGGGAAGGACAACACCCAAATTCAACATAACGTATCAGATCAGCCATAAACTCACACTGACAAAGTGACTATATGAAGGCCCCTGTAGGATTTGTTCACTAGTGTCACAACAGAGCAGTGTTTTTAAGACCCACAGTCCTGCCAGTGGTTTCCCATAATCACATCCTTCTGCAGCTAGCGACAAAGTGCCAAGAGACGCTACAATACATAACCAAAGGCAGAGCAGAAGAAGACCATGGAGAGTAACCATGGATGTAAAGAAGGTAGGTTTCAAACTGTTAAAAAAATAAAGATAAATCAGCTTTGTGTTTTTTATGAAGAAGGAAACGCATTCAAGGATTCAAGGTTTTTTTTTTTTGTTTAGGAGAAAAAACAAACTCCACGTTGCACCTTTACATTTCCAGAAGATGTTAAAAGTGTTTCAGGAAATGAGGGATGATTCCCTCCGAGTCGCTGGTTTTTGACAGATCAAAGTAGAAGTGGATTATGAGGCGGCTCTGTTGTTGTACTGGTGGAACTGGTGCTGTGAAAATGTACATTACCCTGAATTTACCATGACAACAGGTAAACATGGAGGAATTTCCATCAATAGCAAATTAAAATGGGAGCGGATCAGAAAACAGGGAAACCTTTAACCAAATTATGATAAAATATACAGCACATGATACATGACACGATAAAATTAGGAATACACATCTGGCACTAATATAAGCCTGTTCCAAATAAATGACTGTCTCTCTCTGCAGCTGAAATAAACCACTCAGGTTTCACGCACTGAATCACAATCATCTCATCAGGGATTTTACAGCCGGCGAATCCGTCTAAAGACTATCACCACCCTCAAATATTCCATCCCACATGTCCACTCATCAACCTAGTTCCACAGGTTTCTACTGTGAGAGCAAAGCCTCAGGTAAAATATCATAATCACTGCTGGCTGGTGGCTCTTTGGACTTCAGTGGTTCCAAAGAAGTCATTGATATTTGCTTCATGACATGTTTTTAATAAAAAGTTTAGATCTTCTTCGCTAAAACTATCAAAGCAAAAGGCTGAGGAACAGAAAGCGTGAGGACCAGCTGCTGAAAAGATGGAACAAAGATGGATCTGGATCCTGGTCGTTTACAGCAGGAATATTTTCAGTCAACGTGTGTACAGGTGATAATTTTCCCACCCGCCTTCCATCTTTCCGTCCACCCCTCCCTTTATGGTTTTCACGTCTGCAGCCTTTCAGTGACATATAGGCTCACCGGTTGTCTGTTGTAACTCCAGCAGGGCTTTGATGGTGGAAGTGGCGGACTGGGATTCCCCGGCAGACACCTCCTGATAGATAATAGTGGGGCTGGACTCCACAGCTACTTCCTGCTCGGTCCAATCCTGCTCTCTGGAGGACACCACATGCACTACAGGCTGCGGCTCTGAGGAACGATGGAAACAATGTGGGACAAATTTACATTTTTATGGAACCTCACAAGGTTATTTTCACATTCAATTACAGCAAACGGCGGTTAATGTTCTCACAGAGGCAAAAGAACCACACAGAAGCAGTGACAGCTAATTGATCCGACCTTCCTAACTCTTGGCTCTTTGCCCTGGAAAGGGATAAGAGCAGTATACCTTGAGCGCTGCCATGGGAGACCTCACCAGCTAAGCTGCTAGTCTCCGTGAAGCTGGCGACCTCGTCCTTTGTGGAGCCGTCCGAGCCCGTGGTCTGACCCTGACTCAGGTCTGCGGAGCGGGTCACCTGCTGCAGCGTCTCGGTGACCAGCTGCCTGGTCTGTTCGCTCACCACCGCCGTCTGGAAAACTGGCTTCGGCTTGATGAGAACCTGGAAGGAAACATACAGTGTTCTGTAAAGCAGCGATCCAGGGATGTTTTGGGCTTATAGTCTCTCCTACTACAACCACTTGCATTGGCAGAAGCTGGATGTTTCAACTTTCCATCATTACTTTTTAGGGATTTATTTCACTTTTTTGCTTATATATATATATATATATTTTTTTAATCAAATCATAATTTCTGCTTTTTCAAATCGAGCTGAGCTCCAAAATCTCTCTGGCAACTACAGAGGCACCTGAGGGGAGTGACTGCTGATAAAAGTAGATTTCTAGGAGTCGGCACGATGACATTAGCTGGGGACGTTTTCTTCAAAAGGTTTCTTATTCTTGAATAAGATATCTGAGTCATATTTCCGTCTGCTTTGTTACATCACCAAAACTTCTTCTTTATTACTGGAACAAAAGTTTTGTAGACAGTTGCCATTTTCGTCACTTTCCAGTTATAAAACTTTGCTGCCAAAGGCGTTGACTTTAAAGAAAAAAAAAAAAAAAAAAAAAGTGTTGTTGCAGTTGTGACTGATCTACTTTGTGGTTTTACTGAAACTGTCTATCATCGCTGTGGGTGTTAAATACAGTATGTACTGTATGTGTACACTACGCAAAGCTAGATGATCACTGATCTCAATTTCCCCTTTCACGACTGAAAGCAAAAACTGAATCCAGACTAGATGAGTTTGATACTGAAACAATGACATCCTGTCTGTGGATGAACATGGAGTCTTGATGGAGTCTCAAGACAACACACTCACTCTGACCTTCATAAAAGGAACAGATGATGCTTTCACTTTTAGGTCCATGACGCAGCAAAAAAAAAAAAAAAAACATCTGGAAACTGGCATGTTGGAGAATATGTTCTGACACCTACGTTTTAAATTCTAATTCCCCAAAAGATAAAAAAAAAGAAAAAAGAAATATTGCGGAAGATTTGGGTAAAGAATTTGATCAGCGGGTTATCTCCGATATATAAGAATTTCTACAGAACCGATCCTTCCTTGTTTACTCTTCAAAAATAGACGTAAAAACCCCCAGAAACAAGAAACACCTACAGTGATGTCTGGTTTCATTGTTCAGACCCACCACACCTTAGAGATCACAGAATACAAAGAAAACACAAGAACATCACAGTCAAACCAACCGACAAGATTTTTGAATCAATTCTGACTTTACTGTATGTTTTAGTATGAAAAGCTCTACAGAGCTTTTGAGCTTCTAGCAGCTCGTTGTTCTTCGCTGTTCTGCTTCAGTCTCAGTGACGTTGTCAATGTTGCTTCAATGTTTTCAGCAATCAGCCCTCCAACAAACAGCAGACAGACAACGTTACCTACAAGCTGGTGAACACAGTGCAGCATTTAGCAGGTAAAGAGCCAGTTATTTTTTGTCAGGTATAGGCGGAGACCGGACTAGAACTAAAATGAGAATACAAAATGTAATTATATAGTAATGTTTGAATGTCCAGGAAGTCTGATTGGTCCTAGATTTCATTCTGCAGCACGAGTAAACAAGTTCAAACACACAGCCGGTCATACAGAGCTACAAGAAGAACAAGGAGTCCTGCAGCAGATGGTCTGACCCCCACCGACTCCTGATCTCAGCATGATGGAGTCAGTCTGGGATTATATGATCACATTTTATTTATCAAGATAACTGATAAACAAAAACACAGCATTATTTCTGAAAGCATCGTCACTGTATTCTTGACAGGAACGTCGCTGACTGACTGACTGACTGAGTGACTGACTGACTGACTGACTGACTGACTGACTGACTGAATGCTGTGCGAACTGAGCGATGAGGTTACACTCTTGGTGGGCCGGCTGACAGTTGGAGGTTGGTTATTGCTCTTTCAAAATGATTTGGCACAGTTTCTATTACGTCTCCAGGAAGCATTGAGAGGTAGTGTTGCCAACTTAGTGTTGCATGTTTTTTTTTCCCTCAAAAAAAAAAAAAAAAAAGCACCTAGCAACAAATCTCCTGACATCTTGGACAAATATAAGCTACTTTCCATAGAAGAGAGTCACCTGTGTTGCCATGGGAGCATGAGGTCGGGCTTTCCCTCCGCAGACACACCTGAGTGCACGGCAGCTGACAGACGTGAATGAGCTTTGAGCTCTCTCTCTGAATGATTATTTTACAAGTAAACACAGCTGAAATCACAGCACAGTCTTCGTCTTTAACATGCGTGTTTGGTGATTTTTATCAGACGACGTCCCAGTTATAAAGCGGAGCAGCAAGCTTACAGACAAAGTGCTGAAACAGGCTGACTCTAGGCTGAATGCAAACAAGATGCAGTCCGGCCATATACGTTTTGACATAGTCTTGTTTCGACAAGTAGCTCAGCGGTGTATTTGTCAGGTGACGTAACTCCATACGAATGCTAATGTTGCTCCACGTCGGCTGGATGTGCACATAGGAAACCGACCTGATGACTGAGTCAACTTTAGAAGGTGATATGTGTTGTGGTTACAGCCTGTCGCTCTGCCCCCAACTGGCCAAAATAATCAATTAATGCAGATTTAATATCATATGTCAGAAACATGATCAAGCTGCTTTAGTCTACAGCTGTTTGACAGCAGTCTGGTCTGTGGCTCATTCAGGTCAGTCAGTCAGCCTGGCTCACAGACATTTAGATTCATTTCTCTCCCTGAATGAGGGAAGTAAAGGGAGGAAGAGGAAAGGTCCGTGTTAAAGGCCCTGTATGTATTTTTATGCCTATAGAACAGGGGATTTTTTCTCTTTTGTTTAAGCTGGTGTGCTTAATTAAAAGCTCTCACTTCTCTGGAAAATATCACATGTAGTTGTCACCAGATTAATGACTGAATGCACAACCCAGAAGACAGAACTAACCTTCTTCTGGAGAAGACTAAAGTTAACAATTTGTTCTCATTTTCAGAGAAATTCCTCTTCTGTACTGACTTTACAACACACATGTGCAATACAGATTTTGGTTTTGGTTACTTGACATGTCAGTCAACAGGTCGTATGAATGTCCACTTGATGTTTGTGAATAATCATATGATACCCTCACAGGCCTGTGGTTAGCCAGGAGCTGATGATGATATTTACAACATTTTAATTTCATTTTAACTGAATTTGAAAATGGAAAGTTTAAAAAAGTGCCTTTAAATTTGGATTATACCAGAGCTGTAGATTGTTGGAATAACTCTATAATAAAATAAATAAATAAAAAGACAAAAGCAGAGGCACATTTGATTAGCTGGTGGAGAGCCGGTCTTTACCTGAGTCTTGCCCTGCTGGCCGTACACGATCTTGGTTGGGATGATCTTGGTGGCGGTGGACTGGGATCCAGAGCTCATGCCTTTGGGCTGGGTGACAATCATCTTGGTGATGGGTCTGGAGGCGGTGATGATCGCTGGTTTGGTCCCCTGAACGGCCTGTAAGCCCTTCTCACCCTGAGGCACAGCAACACACAGTTTAGGTTTAATACAGCACATCAGACTACAAGCAGCAGCATGGGAGAAAAGAAAAGAGATGTACAGGAGATATGGTCAGCGAATGATCACTGATGATCGAAGACCTCAGTGGTAGATACCAAATTGCCGTGTTTGACTGACCCCAGCATTTAAAAGCGTGGTGACCACGTTCTTGCCCGGCAGTCCTTGGATAGTCGCTCCTTTTCCTGTTGTTTTCTGCACCACGATGACATTTGGCTTGGAGGTCATGGGGATGGTCGTGATCTTAGTTGTCGTGCCTGCGGCAGAGGGAAGACGATATTTCATCAAACAATAACTGATGACGACAATCGCTTCTGATTGACGTTTGTGTGATAACAGCCGTCCATGCAGAACTGTTACAGCACGGTGTCCACTCACCAGACACGATGTTGCTGCTGATGATTTTCCCGCCCAGAGTGGCCAGTGACTTGGGCACAACAGTGATGATGCTGCCGCTGGTGGTCTTCACGTAGGTGGTGCCGCCACTGGAGGCTGATATTCTGGCGCCGATGTTGGGGCCGACAGTGGGTCTTGTATAGGTGGCCTGAGTAGCTGCATACAGAAACCCAGAGTTACTATTTAACAGCTAGACCAGGGTACTGTACATCAGTCATCTTTAAGTACTATTCTGCAGAAATAAATTATTTCTATTATTAGATTGTTATTAATACAGGTGCATCAATGTTTAAGCAGCATTTTATTGTTGTAATTGCTTGAGGTGGAGCTGTGGTTCTCAACCTAAGGGTGAGGCCCCTACAAAGGATCACAAGATAAATCTGAGGTGTCATGAGGAGAAGAACAGACTCTTTCCCTAATCTTTGCTTTTCTGTTAGATATTGTACAATTTTACCTCTTTGAGTCTGAAACATGCCAAAACGCCAAAAATTTCATTCACTGGATTAGATTTGATTTTACAGCGTGTAAACTGCCACGAGTTTCCGTTCACCCACCTGTGGGCTGAGTGACCAGTTTGGTGGTCATGATGGCTCCGTTGCTACTGACGACCATGATGGGAGAGGAGCTGCTGCTGGACAGAGCCACTGATGAAGGCTTGGGCAGGATTTTGCTGGGCTGAACCTGCTGAGTGATGATCTTCACTCCTACATGCACATACACACACAGGCAATGTGTTTATTCAGTGCAGAGGAACAAACACACTGAGACACTGTCTCCTCAAGTTATTTCTTCACGTTGTATATGTTTTTAAAAGTGACATTATGAGGTATTTTGTATTTGAACAAAATACATAGAAGTATAGAAGTAAACAGTTATTTCATTAGAAGAATCCTAATATGTACATTAGCCATAGCTTCCTGAGAACTACAATGAAATTTAAAAAGAAAGAAAGAAAGGAAGAGAGTAGGAAAGATAAAAAAAACAGATAAAGAGATGAAGAACGAAACACCGAGTTAGGCATCCTTACCGGACTCTTGTTTGATCTGAATGGTGGGCTTGGTCCCAGGGGAGGTGGAGGTGGTCTGGGTCTGACCGACGCTGGAGACTCCTAAAGGTGAGCTCTGCTGCAGCTGTTTGGGCGACTGCTGTTTGGGGAACTGGGCCAGGATTTGAGTGGGTGACCCCACCAGCGTCTTGGGTGAAGGAAGTCTGGCTGAAGCGACCTTCACTCCAGCTGAACCACCACCTACAACAGTGACACACTGAAGGTGAGGCTTAAAGCCGAACGAGACGACATAGGAGAAGCTGATATTCTGGTTCTACGCTTAAAAAAAAAAAAAACCCCTCCCTCATATCTGCTGTTATGTTAGCATGGCTACTTGCTCAAACTGACACAAACAGCAAATTATTTAGAGTCTATTTGCACTAATGGTCTGTATGAGAATCTTAGGAATACTTATGTTTACCGAGGAAGGACCTACACGGTGCGACTGTCGACATGACCACTGAGGGAGTGGAGGAGACCACTGTGGTCACGGCGACGGTGTTGGGGTTGGTGGAGGGGCTGGAGCTGGCAGGAAACACCACTGTCTGTTTCTGGGTGGGCGTGGTCAGCATGGAGGTGGAGCCCAGCTTGGACACAGCTGCGTTGTTGTGGGCGTGAGACTTGGACAGGATGTTGGGCACAAAGTTGGAGCTCGGAGAAGTTGTCACGATGATCACCTGTGAGAAAAATAAGACGTTTAAACTCTCAAGTGTTGCGTAGAGGGATGTGTTCAAGAAGCATCAGAGCATGTGAGGGAGCGTCACTCACCTTCTGTGTGGTGGTGTTGGTGGTCTGGATGGTGGGCTTGGTGAAGGTGATCTTGACGGGGGACAGGTGGGGCGGCAGGGAGTTAGCGATGCTTTGCATTATGTTGCTCATCTTGGGGCTGCCGCTCACCGGCACCGTGATGTTCTTGGAAACCGGCGGAGACACCTTGGAAACCTCCTTCAGCATCACCGGCGACGAGCTGGAAGAGTTGGTCCGCCTTCGCTTGCGAGGCTTCTCGTCTTCATCGGAACAACTTACACCTGAGAGGAAAATGGAGGGTAGAAACTCAGGATATCGCTGGAGGATACTGCTAATTCTGTGTAGGGCTACAACTAACGATCATCATTTACTCTGTCAATCATTTCCTTGATTAATCGAGGAATCGTTTGGTCTATTGAACGAGAAAATAGTGAGAAATGTCCATCACAGTTTCCAACCAACAGTCCAAAACCCAAATATATTAAATTTACTATAATATAAGACAAGGTAAAGCTCACACTTGAGAAGCCGAAAGCTGTAAATGTTTTCCGTGCTCGCTTGAGAATGTAGTAAACCATTCATTGATTATTTGAACGATTGCCGATTAATTTTGTGGCGATTGACTAATCGATGAATCCTCGTCGTGATGTACATGTGAAAAAAAAGTGGCAACGTTTATAGAGTAAAATCACAGGTTGGCAACAAACATTTGAAACATCTCCACTTTAAAATCCAGATTTTGCAAGTTCCAGCTCAAGTTCTATATATAAACCCAGGAATCCAACAGATGCAACTTTAAACCAGTTTTGCAAGTATAATTCACGTTACATCTTTAGTTAATAATGTTCAGACACACCCCATCGTCTCAAGTCTCATGCCTTTCCTAAATTAGCCTGCCAGTGACACTGCTCATACCAACTGTTTAATATGCAGGCACAAATTGGCAGCAGATGCTCGTGGAATTGTCAGATCCAACCCAACAGATCCTACGAGACTTAGAAAATCTAAAACCCAGCCTGAGTAAAATCTGCGTTGTGGGGAGAATTTCTGAATCAGCTGTCATGTGGAAAGCCTGAGCTGTCATATACTGTGAAAAAAGATGAGTTTCCATCAAGGCATTAGATACATTTGGAGTGTTGAGAAATTGCTGTTGTTGACTAAGACTGATGTAGAAATCTGTCAGTGATGAGTAAACAGGTCTTGTAGCGCCCCCCTCTGGCTGATCAGTAGATTTCTTTTTTTGACAATACATTTATCTATAGTAAATAACTCTTTCAGCTATAAGCTCTGTTGGTTTTATTTTCTTTTCCATAATTGTTACAGTATGTCTGTCTGCATTTAGTTTTTCTGTCATTTCATATTTGATGATGTCACTCACTTTTTACGTAGACCGTGCTCCCGCTGGGCAGCACCACCACGTTGGATGTGGGGCTGGGTGGTCGTGGGGATTTCACCGTGGCTCCGATAGTGCCGCTGGTCGCTGTGGCGCTGGTGGAGGTGCAGGTGGTGCTAGTGTAGGAGTAACATACAACCACTGCAGGGAGGAAATAAAACATGTCATTTAATGTCTAATCTGTTTGAAAACACTCTCAGTGGAATACAAAGTGCTTCTGGTCTACCTTCTTTGTTTCCTGTTTCAGCTGGCAGCAGGAGGGAGGCATTCTGATTGGCTGTGGCACTGGCCACCGCGTTAGCAGTGACAGTAAAAGCTGTCTGAGGGACCAGCCTCGGCATCAGGGGAACGAGGCGGCGTCCTTCGATGGACCATTCAGACGAGCTGTTAGGACCGGACATGCTGAAAAAGATAATATGCACCACTCAGTTCAGTCACTGTTTTTAAAACTACAATCCCCAGTCCAGTGGTGTACAGTGGTACAGTGGTGCAATAAAATACACAAGTTATTAAATCAATCTGCTTATTCCATCTGTGATGTTACTCAACATAAGGCAACGTACTGCACATGGTAAATGACACTCAAACATCAGCTCTATACTCACTGATATGCAATGGTGGTGAGGCGTTCATCATTGACAGCCCTGCGGACTTCTGCACGATGGCGCTCAGTTGAGATACTGGGTGGATGGGGGAGTGGTGACAGGTGGACAAAACAAAATCAGTGTGCAAAAACTGAACAAATTGTTCCTCTAAATCAATACATTTTAGAATATGTGGGAAACAATTACCCAAGGATTTTAGTGAGTTCCCCCAGGAGATCCTTCTTGTCCTTTGTCAGGTCTCCTTGGGCTCGCAGGGCGCTGATAACTCCAGCATAAGCCTCCAGCTCTGGAAGACACAGACACACACATCAAACACAAAGCAGCAGGATCTTGTTCATCAAGTGGAGCAGTGACACCAATAAAATGTATGCTGATCTTTTTCTAACTGTCGTTTTGAGTGACACACATGAAAAGCAGTGCAATGTCCAACTATTCATGTTCAAGCCAATTGTTTAAAAAAAGAAAATAATCTTACCCAGTTTACGGAGAATTCTTTTGCACTCATCCCTGCCCAGGTCAAGGATGGTGGGCCATACCACTGGCATGGTACCAGTCAGCACCGGTTTCTCCAGCTGAATCATGGGCTAAGTGGAGGGATGACAATAATGCATTTATGAACACATTTCCCATAAACCCCACTGCTGCTTGCTGCTGCCCCTCCCAGACACTGCGCTGTGTGTTTATTTCAAAGAGCCTCAACAAGGACGAGAGCCAGTGGAAGCTCTTGACAACAGCAAAGTATGATGCTATAAAAGTCTACACTGAGGAAATAACATTTGAGCTAATAACTGTGCAGGAGCAGTCTGACTGACAAGATAATTATGATTCATACATAATTATTGCATGTTGAGTGGAGTAAACACAGTGTGTGCACTTTTATTTTCTGAAGTGGGAACACTGACGTACTTTAATACGTGCACTTGAATTTGATTGAATCTTATTCCTCATAAAGAATCTTTTCTGTAACTGCTAATTAGCATCACTCATGCAGCTTTCAAGCAAAGCATGAATAAAGGTCAAAAGATAGCATGATGAGATGTTTATGTGTGGGAGGTGAAGAGCACAGGAGAGGTATGTACCACAGATATTATTTCATTTTTGTCACTGCTTACAATCTCAGGATACCAACATTTTTTATCTTTTAATTGTCAAACTGAGTTGAAGAGTCTTTAGTAAAAATGTTACTAACAAATAAAACAGTTATGACATATTCAGTTCTGCTTTACACTGCATTTAAATTAAAAGTCAGTCAGCAAAGACTACATCTAACTATTGAGTTTATTGTTTTGGTTGTTTCCAAAAGAACATGATTAGACCTAAAAGTCTTATACACCTCATACGGTGCATTTATCAGGGCACATTTTCAGCAACAGATTAATATATGTTTGGTGCTCTACTGACAGGTTACTCCAGCAGTTCTTTATGTCTCTGGGTGGAGGTTTATTTTGAGGTTGTTGTGATGCATCAGACTGAACTTTGGAGCAATCAGACGCCTCCTAGAGAGCATTACCTGATGGATAGGAAACTATACATCTAAAGAGCTGAAAACTTTTTCACAGTACTGTATGTGGTATTAACTCAAGTTACACTTCAGTGACCATGTTCATGGTAATGAAGACGCATGTCATCCAGTTTGTGTAATGCACAGATGTTTTTTTGTAAAGCAGCTATTATAAATTCATTCATCATTGGTTCAGAACTGCATTAACAAATCTAGCTATTTAATCTTAGTTTTTAATGGCACAAACAATATAAGAAGGCAGGATAGGAGCATGTTACCTACACGTCTGTTTGGCACATAGAATATATTTCCCCAGGCTCCCATATATTACAATAAAGTCTTGACTTTTCGTAGTTTGCACTGACAGTACCGCCCACCACTGGGCATCTCAGTAACTACAAAACACTGGGAGCAGAAGGCCAACCACACATGAAAAACTGGATTTTAGTTAGTTCAAATGCTGCTTAGAGGTCAATCCCTATGTCGGACACAACAGAGAGTCCTAACTGTTACAAACGCGTATGTGTTTATAATCTGGTTCCGACATTTGACATGCAAAAACACATATAGGTTTTCATATTTTCTGGGTCAAATTCTGTTGGTACAACGGGAAACGGAACGTCCTGCTGAGTGTACGCTTTCATCAAAATACCCCATCATCTACCGCCCTGCAAAAACACGCAGTAACATCAAAATACATCCACAAAACGTTCAGAACGACAAGAGATGTCTTAGCAGGGTGAACCTCCAAAAAGTCACAGAATTTTTTGGTTTATTGAAAACCTTTGCGATGGATGATGTTAGCTTAGCTAGTTAGCTAGCCCAATCAATGTCTTACCATCCGTTAGCAGGACAACTTCAAGGCCTTAGAAAATCCGAGATCCAAACAAACATGGCTGAGCACAAAGCATTTAGCTTAGCTACCGCATCCTGTAGTTATTATGCAGTAAACTGGGATTAAGAAAACAAAAGCTAAACCATTAAAACCGCCCTATCTCCCCAAAGATGTACCAGTGTTTACGTTATCTGCTAACTAGCTGCGGTTGGTCTGTGGATGTATTGGTCTCTTCTTCTTCGTGACAAATATGAGGGTACTAGATGCGTTGCTGGCGCAGTGCTGCCACCTATAGGCCGTTTAGCCAACCACAGCTTCCAGATAGATAGATAGATAGATAGATAGATAGATAGATAGATAGATAGATAGATAGATAGATAGATAGATAGATAGATAGATAGATAGATAGATACTTTATTTATTTATTTATTTACCACCTGTGTGCTTAAGTCCAAATGTCTGTTGTGAAAAATCTCTATCAAGCTCTATAGTTACAATTAAATTAGACCCAACTTCAGCAGCTGCATCATTAAAAGTCATTTTTACCCATGACTGCATCAATAATTATAATCAAATGATATAATATTATATACTGTACATTGTTGTGAAATGGGCCATTCTACATAATGAGTACTTTTACACTTTTAGGAGGCTGTATTTTGGTGTTTGTACTTTTACTTAAGTAAATATTTTAAGACTTTTACTTGTAACAGAGTTTTTCTATATTGTAGCATTGCTACTTTTACTGAAGTAAAAGATTAAAAGTGCTTCTTCCACCACTGTTTGAAACAGACATTTGCAAAGTACGAGGAGCTCTTGAACGCAACGGGATGGAAGGTGGGTTTTCCTCCTCTTTTTCACTCTTTTGGGGGGTGGAGGGGGGGCAAAGCATTTCCTTTTTTCCATTTGCATCACAGTACGGAGCAAAGACCAAGGCTGCTGTGCAAAATAGTGGCGATTAAAGCGAACGGACGTGGATGAGGATGCTACAGAAACCGCAGCGCTTCCAGATCAGCTCAGTGGACACTGGACGCCGCGGAAATAAGAAAGTTAAAGTTCATTTTAGATTCAGCAGCCTAAGTTTGACGTAATTCTTCCTCGGGACATCAAGGAGCAGGCTGGAGTGTCATCATGGAAGTATTTCCTAAGGAAAAATAGAGAGTTTCTCATCTTGGAGTTGGAGGTAATTTGAGAAAGTGCAAGTTGGGAAAAACATTTAGAGCAGAAAGTTTTCTCCGGTTTTCCAGATGTCTCCTCTGATGCAGACAGCGGCTGGCGAATTAAATATATTCACACCCCATAAAAGATAGTTGCACTTTTCTTTCCCACTTCCTGCAACTCTGGATTTCATGCTTCATTGTCGACGCTGGTAATAAATATATAATCAACTTTACTGTCCTGGTATTTTTCAGCAAACACTCCCGTAAGAATAACGGGATTTAAAACTCTTCATTCAGGATATAACGACTCGTCGACGTTTGAGGACATGGACCGACACCGAGAAGACAAAATAAAGGAGCAGCTTTAAAAAGTAAGAGTTGGACGTTATCGTGAAAATGTTATTTGGGTGAAGTCCTTGGAAACTCGTCAGGGAAGCCCAATGAGTGGCACACAGTCAACACTCACTGACAGGTAGGCTGTACGCTTTTTCTTTTAAGTGTTTATTCTTTGTCGTTTTCTTTATATGTGTGTGTGTGTGTGTGTGTGTGTGTGTATGTGTGTCTTATCACTAACTGGTCCTGGCCAAAGTGTGTGAAATGTAAAAGAATGTACGCGTAAAATATCATTACAAAATAAAACATCATATTCAATATTAATGTTATTACTGTGAGGACTTTTCAGTGTGGAACAAAAAAACAAACTCATATCATGCAATGTAACGCTGTGTGTTTGTGTGTGTGTGTGTGTGTGTGTGTGTGTGTATATATGTTTGTATGTGTTTGTTGACGATTTTATCAAGTTAAAAGGTTTCTCTGCTCTGTTTATGAATGGATAGACAAAACTAACTGCACCAAACCAAACTCCATTAAAAAAATCTACTAATTTAAGGTTTTGTTGCTTGTCTGAAAATACATATAAGTACTTGAACGTGATATACGCTATACTGACATTTAATTCAGTCTCCTTGTAAATTCGGCAATAAAGTTATTCAACAAAAAGCCACAAGTTTCCAGAAAGTATTAGTATTTTAAATTGGTCTTAATAGCTTTCACTCTTGACGCCGAATTGTGTTTAGGCGACGATGGCGTCTGGGGATACGACGGGATGCAAATTAGAAATTATTTGTTTTAAAGTAAAGATAAAGGTGTTTGATGCACGCCGAAATGTGTAGAAGGGTTTGGTGTTTTTTGCGTGTTCTCTAATTGTTTTCTATCTTCAATGGCTTATCTGGGAAATTGAGGGCAAGTTAAAAGTTAGAGATTTCTCAGCGGAGTTCGTACAAGTCTCCCCTCTATAAAAACCAAAAACGGACCAGAACGTGACTTGCTTTTTTCCTGGTCACTCACAGGACTATGTGATTGGCTTTCACTGTTGATGACAGCCACATCTGTCAAACCAGCAGGGGGCATCTTGCTGGAATTAGTCATTCTTTACTTGTGGCTCCTGAAAGGCTCCAAAACATGTTTCTGTTCCTAATATACAGGTCAGGATGCTGAGGTGCACGTAAAAGGTTTTGTACCAAGAGTCTGTCACAGTTTCATTGTTGTCTGTCTTTACTGAAGATTGACTAATTGAAGACTCTTGGACACCTACACAAGTTTCACTGACACTACAGTCACAGTGTCAACAGGGTTAATCCAGGATTTTTACTCACAGCATGTCTTTACAACAGGCTGATGCATCGTGCACAAAGTAAAGTTGAAAATACCTTTAACCTGCACATGTCTATAAAAAGGCTTGCCCTTTATTGATCACATATAACACAGGCTAACATAAGGAAAAACAACATTTGTTTTGTGCCCTTTTTTGTCTGGTTCTTGGCAGAGAAATGAACCCCTGATAATGTCTTGATAAAGTCATGATAAAGTCTTGCAGCTCTGGAGTTCGTTGGTACCAACCCGAAACATTTTGGGCATTTTTCCACGTCTGTAAGAACCATATGAGGTGAAATGTTGTAGGAACATTAACGGTTGACTTTCGGCTTTTCAGATTCCATCCCACATAAGTCACTTGTATATTTTTACACTCGGCAATCAGGAGTTTCCTCTGAGGAAACGCCAAAATAAAGGCACACATGACTGCCTCGGAAAGTCAAACAAAGTCATTTGATTTCTTGACCTTCAGCCTGCAGAAAGGACTGAGCCGTTCGTCTGCTCGGCTGCCTTTTTAGAACAATGGGCCTTTTGATTCTCTGTAATGTTTCCATCATACCCTCCATATAAAGATCTTATATGGTCTAAAACCATAAACAACGGAAGGGACAGACAGTGGTAATTATGTGTCTACAGTCGCATTTGGATTAAATACTGAATGTAAACAAGAACTGGATGACATCTATAACAAAATCATTGTCACCTGCCCAACCTCCAAAAAATGTCATCTAGTGCCCACATGACCTGAAAACTAAAGCACAGCTGAGCATAAAGACTGGGAACACACCTCACTCACTCATTAACTCTCTTGTATCTGGTTTGTTTGATTCTTGGGTTGCCAGATACAGAACCCACAAAGACACCAAACCTGGCAACCTCACAGTGAAGATAAGACTCCAAGGAAGCTGCGTATGATTAGATGATCTCTGTGCTCTGCGGTGTTGATTTGTCATGAAATAGTTCCAGCTCATGACTCCCTCGAAAACCACAAATGGTCATCTTTACGTTTTTTGTTGGTGTAGAGATTAAACAAACCAGATACAGGATGTTAATTAGGGAGAATTAGAAGTGTGACGTTAGCCAAATATTTTCCGTCCCTGACTGAATTCTTTTAACAGTGACGGTAAAATCTGATCCACCATCTACAGTAACCACTGGGTGTGTGACCTTTGACCTCGCTTTAGTCCAAGCCAGTCCACTATGCTAATACTCTGTCCTGAAGGTGTCCAGGTCAAACAAAGAAAGTCCCTTCAACATTGAATTAAATTAACTCATGTGCTGGGAGTTGTCCTCCAAATGTTCAGACACAAACAAACTGATGATTACGCTTTAAACACAGCTGATCCTCTCATGTGGCAAAACATTAAAGGTCTCTTTGTACAACAGAGGAACAGTAGGAAGAGGCTCCTTCATCCAAAAGCTATAATTTATCCAACAGTTTATATTTCAGAGAGGGAAGTGAGTCATCTTTACTGTGCAGACCCAGCAGAAAAAGCCCTGGATCTTTTTTTATTTATTTTTAATTTTTGAAAATACGACTTCCTTTTTCTCTATCACATATTAAGCCCGGAGGCGATGGTGCTGTGATGATTTTAACCGTTTAAACAATAGAGTCATTGTATGAAGGACTTTACTAATTGAAGTGATAATGATAGAGAGAAGTCACCCACTGTAGTTCCACCGTCTCGGCTGATGCCAGGGAAACGTCCTTCTCTTTAAATAATAACTTCTGCCAATTTATGATTTTTGATGGCATTTGACTGTAACTTCAGCAGCTGTTGCTTGGGAACATCAATTTGGACAACACAGGGAATGCAATTCAAGATGATTTTCATTATCGATTAATCCGCCGATTAGTTGTTTACTTTATAAAACAGCAAATAGCAAAAATTAAAAAAATAAAATGAACAATCGGCCCCCACATTTACCCACAGCCCATATTGTTGTCTTCAGTTCAAATTCCCACATTGGAGAAGCAGGAGCAAGCTCATTTTAATAATGAATATTTGCTAATTAATTTTCTGACGATCGATTAACTGAGTAATTGTCACATCAGCTCTAGACAACACAAACCTTTCAAAACAATAACATGATAAGATTGTAACATTCAAATATGATCCTGCAAAAGTAAATGCACAATAAAAGCAGTGGAGTCAGTGGATGGACTGTCTGTACACTGACCACATTTAACATGGGAAATGTGACTCTGATCACGATCCTGTGTCTCTTTATTCTTTTCCGGCCCTGAACAGTAGTTTAATGTACAGCAGATATAACGCGGCGCACTGTATCTTGGATTCTGCTGTCTTAGTTTGCACTGTGAATGTTTTCACTGAACAGTGGTTTCACTTGCAAATCGGTTGACTTTGAATGTCACTGCTGCTGTCTGACCCCGTCCTGTCTCTGAGGCCGAACCCTGCGCAGGCGTTACATCTCTCGGGTGCACGCCGAGGTTTGCTGCTCTTTCGTGACAAGGTGATGTTGTTTCGTTATGTAAACGACACGCTCGTCTGCGGATGTTGAAGGTTGTTGCTGGAGGCTGTGCTGTTAAAAAAAAAAAAAGAAAAAAAAAAGGGTTCAGTTGCCAGGCAACACTTGTGCCAGCTCCAGCAGTGGGTAGGTCACATGTTTGGAGGGTTTCTCAGTGAGAAGAATTCGGTTTGAGCAGGCTGCTAGGTTCCTCCTAACGTTTGTGATATTTTACCGTCAGGATGTGACAACCCCCAGCATGGGACATGTTCTCCTGTCTGCATAGCCTCAAGGGACTAAAACCTTCCTCTCTCCGGAAGAATACTGTAGGTCTCGTTGAGCCCACAGTTCCCTGGAGGTTTGTGAAGCAGCAGTAGACTGTTCGGCCTTTTAAAGGAAAAAAAAAAAAGGTTTATTACGACATTGGGTTTTATTTTCGTAGGCCCTTGTTTTTATCAGTTCCAGTAACATTGTAGTCACCAAATTGCTGAGACCTGAGAGCACAGAAACATTGCTAAAAATGGGTCCAAGGGGGGAAAAGAGCAAACAGTCAGATGACCAGACAAGTTTTAAACAAGCTGTCAGGTGAGTCAGAGAAAACCAAAGGCAAACAGTTCAATTATTACACAAACGCCCTGTTATCTGTCACAGTTTATGGACTGACTTTTTGGATCAACTTTGATTTACCGTAGTCTACTTGCCGTAGTTGTGTGTGATGAGGGATTATAAGCAACATTTTATTTTTACAGCCTGATCATCTGTCTGCATGTGTTTCGCCCTGCGGACGTATTCTTAGCAATGTCCTACTTTTTAACATCTCTGAAATAACATTGGGGGAGTTCAATGTTTTATTTTGTCCAAAAAAACGTCTGACAGTCAGGTGTGTGGAGTTGTTGAAAGTCAACAAGGTTTGAACTCTCTTTAGTTCTCTGCTTTTTGATTCTGCACAAATCTGCTCGTCACTTTTTGCACGTCCAACTGAGAGCAACACCATGAACGTCTTCAGGAGGAGACTTCTGAAATTGTGTGCTTTTATTCCCATCGTATGATTCACTGCATCAAGATTACAATGGCACGTAAAAGACTCATGTACAGGGGCTGGTTTCACAAAAGACAGACGTGGACTGTGGCTTAGAAATGGCAAATACTCAGACTTCAGACAGACCGGTCTAAAATATCTTTGTGAAAGTGGCCCCAGATTTATGAAGGTAGTTGACCTTTGTGTTCATTGAACTTGAATTTAAACTTGATAATCACTGACTGTGAAATCACTACAGGTAGCAACGATGCTCTTCTTTCTTTTCATACGACATTTACCTCAGTAATAACCTCCATATCGACACAATCCCC